CAAAATAGAAAGATCATTAGAAGTAGAGATGTTACTTTCAATGAAAACACAGTGTACAAGGATAGACTTGAGACAAATGCTGAAGCTGAAAAGAAACCAACAAAGAAACAAAAGATAGTGCTAGATGACATTATAGAAGATGACCTTGTAGGAAAAGGTGAGAGCTCAGGAAATAAGATAGTTGAGGAGATCACTCCAGTAATTGAAGTAAGGAGATCTAGCAGAGTTATTAGGCCTCCTTATAGATTCTCTCCTTCAACAAATTACTTGTTATTGATTGACGATGGAGAACTTCTATGTTATTATGAGGCACTGCAAAATGGATGATGTAGCCCAATGGGGACTAGCCATGTAGGAGGAGATGAACCCACTTGAGAAGAATAAAACTTGGTGTTTGACTGACCTGCCAACAGGAAAGAAGGCATTGCAGAACAAGTGGGTGTTCAGGGTCAAGGAAGAACATAATGGCAACAAGAGATACAAGGCAAGGCTAGTGATAAAAGGTTTTCAGTAGAAAAGAGGTATTGACTATAATGAGATTTTCTCTCTTATAGTTAAAATGACTACCATTAGACTCGTGTTGAGCATTGTTTCTGCAAAGGATCTACATCTAGAACAGCTAGATGTTAAGACAACATTCTTACATGGTGACCTTGATGAGAACATCTACATGGTGCAACTAGAGGGTTTCCAAATAGTAGGGAAGGAGAACTTTCTTTGTAAGTTGACCAAGAGTTTGTATGGGCTGAAGCAAGCACCAAGACAGTGGTACTTGAAGTTTGATAGTTTTATGAGTAGGAAAAGGCATAAGAAATGTGCCATGAATTAGTGTTGTTACTTGAAAATTTTCAGTCCATCCTATATCATATTACTATTATATGTTGATGACATGTTAGTTGTAGGATCTAATACGGATGAAATCAATAGATTGAAGGCACACTTAGCTGAAGAGTTTGAAATGAAGTATTTGGATGTTGCAAAGCAGATTTTGGGCATGAACATTAGTAGGAACAAATATAAAGGTTCCTTAGTATTATCTTAAGAGAAGTATATTGGGAATTTTTAGAGAAATTCAGCATGCAGGATGCCAAGATCGTAAGTACACCTTTGGGGGTTCACTTCAATCTCACAAAGGAGCATTCACCTAAGACGGATGAAGACAAGGCAGCAATGGCTAAGGTTCCTTATACATCTAGTTGGTAGCTTAATGTGTTCAAGACATTGCTCATGTAGTGGGAGTTGTTAGTAGATTCATGTATAATCCAGGAAGGAATCATTGGAAAGCTGTCAAGTGGTTGCTACGCTACTTGAAAGATACTTCTAAGATTGCATTATGTTTCAGTAAGAATGATGTTGTTTTGGAACGATATTTTGATGTAGATTTGGGAGGTTGTTCAAACATAAGGAAAAGTACTACAGGATTTGTTTTCACAGTAGGTGGCACAGTAATTAGTTGGATGTCTCAACTTCAGAAAAACATTGCACTTTCAACCACAAAAGCATAGCACATGGCTATTTTAAAAGCCGGTAAGGAAATGATTTGGTTGAAGAATTTTCTTGAAGAGTTGGGCAAGAAGTGTGTTAGCACTCTTTATACTGATAATCAGAGTGTCATTCATCTTGCAAAGAATCCTATGCTCCATGCGAAGACAAAGCACATCCAGTTGAGATACCATTTCATTAGAGAACTAATTAATGATGGTACTTTGTTCTTGAACAAGATCCCTGGGTCAGAGAATCTTACAGATATATTGACCAAGGTGGTTACTATTGAGAAGTTGAAACTTTGCATAACTTCAACTGGCCTTCATGGTTAATTGTTGAGAAGGTGTCGCTCTAGCTTGGAGGTGTTACGATTTTGTGGTTTATTAGATTTATTTTGGAGTGTAGTTGATGTGATCAGCCTCCAAGTGGGAGATTGTTGCGTATGTGGAGTCTGAAGGGTCTATTGGGTTTGGCTCATTTGCTTTTTATTTATTTATTTTTTTTATAAATACTTATGTAATTGTAAACCTAATTAATGAAATAGAAAATACCATCTAGTGAGGCCATGAACGTAGATTATTCTGACCGAACCATGTAAATCTCTATGTCTTGTGAATTTACTTTCTCTCTTGTAATTGTGCGTGTGAGTGTGTTTGCGATCCCCATGAAAGCATATAAAGATGTCCAATTGTGGACTTCATGTACCCCCAACATTTGTTTTGCAATTGTTGAATGACACCAATAAGATAAAGTGAAATTATAGTTTGGTCTCTTCCAAGAAGTCCATTCTCCACCTAATAATTTGAATGACCTACACAAAATTGAAATAAGAGGAAGACAAGATGAAAATTGGGTTACAAAATATGCTCAATGGATCCACATATGGAACAATAGACGTGATCACACATTAATGGGTCATCCAATGCAAGGCCATTCACACACGAGAATACATGGAATGGTACTTAGCCAATTCCATCTATTTTCTATTTGTGTCGCGACTACTACAAGATCCAAGGACCCACCAATAGTGAACGAGTACCACCACATTTGAAACTGGTGTGATTTCCATGCAGTCGTATGAAGTGACTCATCAACATGTTTCAATTCCTTCACACAACATAACGCCAGAAACAAACATAATTGACAGAAGATATTCTTTTGCAACAACTTTAGAGGATTTCTTTACAAACTTATTTGAAGTAGATTTTACAATTTCATCTTCAGCATAGTCTTACATGTAGTCTCTTTACCAACCGAATTTAGCTAATGAAACTAGTAGTTCCTCAGATGCATTCCAGTATCCATTCCTTGATGATGATCAAAATCCTCTAGAGCAACAACCACTACGACAAAATTCAAGACGTAAAAGACGTCGTCCTCGTTGTGGAACTAGGCACCATTACGGAGATTAAACATTATGTAATGTCACTCTCTAAATGTATGCGTTCATCAATATTTTCTTATTCATGTAATATTGTTATGAATTTTTTTAATGCATTTTGTCTTCATCAATGTTGCTTTAGTATTGTTTTTTATTAATAATTTTTTATTAAAATATTAAAAAAATTAATTTTAAATAAATAATTAACTATAAACTTTAATAAACTTTAATATTTAATAATAATTAACTTATTTTATTTAAATAAAATTTTTATTCAAAATAATTTTATCATATTAATATTAAAAATTATTAACACAAGTTTACATATTTAAATAAATATAATATTTAATTTTATGTACAAATTTTATTTTATTGTAATAATATAGAAATTATAAATTACAAAAATAAAGTGATTTTTTATATAATATTTACTTATTAAATATTATATTTAATTAAATTTTGTAATACTATTAATATTAATATAAATTAAATTCATTAAATATATTATATTTATTAAATATATAACTTTCCATATCAATTTATATACATTTAAAGTATATTATTAAATAAAAGACAAAAAGACAC